TAAAGGAGGTGGGCTATTCTTTGACGAACCGAGCTCCAAACTTTCCATAGAACATCTTTCACATTGCAGTTTGTGAGTAGCGTGATCTAGGCCTGATCTACGCATGCGTTAGAACAAATTAGAGCTTTTGTGACTGTTACCAACTATAATTCTCGCGTTCGTTTGATAAATTTAAAATATATTTTGTGCTCTTGGTTTATATAAACGTGCAATTTAGGCAGGAAAGTCCTTAATAACGTAAGCTCTTAAGCACTTTTAGTTCTATAGAGAGAGAAGAACTCGAAAATTTTATTTCTATGAAAAGTCGTAACTTTCTTTTTCCAACATTTATTTCTTAACTGTCTGGTTCTGCATCAAAGGTCACGCAATTTCAATGGCATATTTTTGTCGTAATTGTTCAAAATCTGTTCACGAGAGTAGAAGCATCTAAGACTTTATGGATTACTTGATATTTTATTCGAAATGTCTAAGTAGTTTACATAAAAGAAGATTTAACTTTATGCGAGTAATGACAAACACGCGGCATGACTTAATATTGCCTAAATCAGTCACATCTTCAGGGTGATTAAGCCAAGAAGAGTGAGATGAGCCGGGCATGTGGAGTGCATGGATGGGAAGCCTGAGGGGAAGAGACAGCTGGGGAGACCTAGACGTAGATGGGAGAATAATCTCAGGCGGGATAGGAGTTGAAGGAGACTGGATTTTGTAGGCCCAGGGCAGGGTCTGATGGAGGGCTTCGTTAGTTCGGTGTTGAAACTTCATGTTCCGCAAGCCGTTTATGTAATTATGTCACATTTACAGCTTTGTCACTTTGTGTTGGATCTCAACTGGCGATCCAGTAACGAAGAAACAAACTGATTCCATGAATCTAACAGTAGCCTAGGCAATCAAATGTCTCGCCTTTTATGAAACATGAAGTTTCATTTCCGTGTTTAAAAGACCCCGTCTTTAAACCAAATTCACAAGCATGTAAAGTCAAGCCACACCTTCATTCCCCACTTCTCTAAGATCCATTTTAATATTATCCCAGCAACGCAGAGGACTCTCAAATGACCTTTTATTTTCAGGTCTTCCGATTAAAGAGTTGCATTTCTTGTCTCTGCCATGCGTTCTACATGTCCCGTCCATCTCATCACCCTCGATCTGACAGCCTACAACTTATTAATAAGTGAAGAGATCTATAAAGCTCCATGTTACGCATTTTTCACCATTCCCTTGTCAGTAGCTCTCTAGCAGGGCCAGATATTCTTCCCAGTATTGTGTTCAATCTCATTCACTCTCAGTTGATGTGCACACGCGTCAGTATGAAGAAAAACCTGTAACAGCGATCGACTGTTTTTCAGGAGATGGAGTCAAACCAAAGTCTCTGCCGTTCTCAAGATGGCGACAGTTGCACGTACACGGAAGCATTGGTCCTCCTGAAACAGGTGAAAGAGCTGAGAGAGAATAAACTCTTGTGTGACGCGGTGTTGAGGTTGGACGACGACGGCGTCTTCCCAGTCCACAGAGTGATTCTGTCGATGCGTAGCGAATATTTCAGGTTTGTTTATTTAATGACGTGTTTGATTAACACGTGAAATAAGGACTTAATAGACCTCAATTCGTATGTGAAATGTTTTATCCCCTTTGCTATTTGTCTTTTGTTATTTGTTCATTGTCATGAAATTTCACGGCGATGAGGAAGAAGAAGAAGAATATCTTCTGGACGTTGCGCCGTAGAAACGAGTGGCATTTCAGACGTACTTACTGCCTTCTTTCCTTGATGATGGAGGCAGTAAGCACCTCTGAAACGTTCGATAATTTCTACGAGACAACATCCCAGAAGACGTACGTGGTTTTTTGTACTAATTTTTAAGTGCGATTGTACCAATCTGACAGTCAATCGACCTGGAGGGAGAAATAGAATCCATTTCCAATACGTTTTGTTTTTAACACATAAAGACGACCGACTCAGTCCAGAAGCAAGTTGGTAATGCACCTTCGTCACGCCATTGTCCGGAACATTGAATGCTGCTGTGACATGCTCTGTCTGAAATATAATAAACTGTATCAAAGTACCTCGTAAAAAATGTTTCATTGTTAGGCGAGAATCGTTCGAGAATTTGTGCATACGTTAATTTGCTTGAGTTTTAAATAATGATTTGGTGCGTTCTTGAAATGAGAAGTGAAAATGTTT